TATCTCCTCGAGCACGGTTTGTGGCCATTTCTAGTGGACGCGACTTCAGTTTGCTGGCACAGAACGGCTTTCATTGTAGCAAAAGTTTCAAGTGATGGCCAAAAGAGAAAACAAATATGTCGGTCTATTATGGCACATAGCTGGGATCACAAACACACCAACCGTCCCACCAACACCCATTGCAAACGCGTTTCACTTAATTGTTCAAATGCTACATAACTTCACCTGTTTGTGAGCCCGCATCAAGCACTGTCGAAAAACTACGCCACCTCCCATGTCAGTAAGGGCTGTGGGCATTCTAATGTTCTGGTGAACGCCATCGATGGCCGTTAGGAGTTAGGGCAAGCCTAAACCGAACTAAATTTAGGGTCTGAAAGCCAAAGCAAGGGAATGGCACTGAATGCGGTTGGATCTTGTAAGGCGCAGAAAATTCGGATCTCACACAGTTCAAAGTTCAAACAACTGTATGCTTTATACCAGAGCAATCCCTTCTTGCAGCCAGAGCAGTGTGTTTTTGTGCCACAGAAACATTTGGTCCTGGCGCTTGTTCCACTCTACACAGACTTTGCGGTCCTTTGCGATTCTTTAGAATGGAACGCACGTACAACCGTGAGTTAACGGGCATTGATTTTTGGCTTTTCCACACATTGATCCCGTCTTGTGTTCGATTTACCAATACAGCCATATCCGGTAGCACAAATTCTGGCACTCGAGAAAAAACCGTAAAAACGGTTAAGCCATAGCCACAGAGAACACAACGACGGCTACGCGATGATCTCATGCCTATGCAGCAACTTTTAGGGGATGCCTATCTGAACCTCAGTTACAACACATACCAGCAATGAACAATGATTTAGCACGGGACAGAAATCACGTGCTTGACACGTCTCGTAGGATAGTTGGGGTGAATACGATGAAATCAAAATATATGTGGGTCATCTACCGAGCGTTATTGCGAAATACACATCGAATACATGCATGCAGAAGTATACGGGGTGCAGTGACCTTTTACCTAAAGCGTGAGTAAAGTAAAATATGGTCGTTCACTCATGCGCCGCATCATTGGGTCCATATTAAATGGCATGATTCATGTAATCCACAATAGCGCAGTTTAGGTAACGAAGTGCTAGGAGCAAAATCCAATCGTTTTCTTTTTAAATAAGCATTTGAAGGCTTCTAGAGTGTCGCCGGCAGTAGTTTTTGTCGCTGCTCTGAAAACTGGCAATTTCAATCGAAGTCCGTTAACTCTAACCTTACGCCGACTGACGTTAAAACGCACTTGATTATCGTTCTTGTTCCTTCTTACTTTGCTCATTATGGGCTAGCCTAGTTAGAAGTTGCAAGGCACTCGGATGCTTGTAAAATATAGAAGACGTGTATGCATTTTAACTATTCCCAAAAGTACGTTATGTGTGGCAACCTCATGCGGCCTTTCGCTTGCTGTGATTCAGTTTCCAACCTAATTGGCCACGGGCATGTATAATAAACGGCTGTTAATCGTAAAGCTTATATGTGCACTTCACTAGCTTGTGCTGTAAGCTTCTATTCTCGCAAGCCTGCAATGGCGAGAAAGCATAAGCATCTGGCACCATGATTCCGGTTGTTCCAGATCTGTTAGACGTAAATCTTTTCCTCCTAAATTTGCAAATAACCACCAAGGGTTCGCAAGATCCCGGATAAGTAAAATACCAGAACAATTGGTGATTATATTCTAGACTTTCTACCTATTTGTGTTGTCTTGGCGCGTAGACCGCTTCCACTGACTACGGTCCCACTTTTGGTTGGATCCCGGCCTGATGTGGTCGTCGAAAGCATGCACGCTGTGTGGTCAGTGGTTACCTAACGGCAACCTACCTGAAAACACCTCGAACCGATGCATTACTGACAAGTCACGCACCTTCTTCCGATCCATCTGGAGCAAAGAATGATCCCTTGCAGTTGATCAGTTGTCTTCATTTACCTCACAAGCCAATTTAGACTCGCATAAACGAGTGCGGGTATATTGTCAATTACTCCCTTCAAGTTTGGACGGATCTCCAGCAGTGAACACTTTGCTACACCCTTTTAGAACTGCACTAGATTAAACAAGCATGCTTGATCTTTCACTTGCAGCCAACGTAATGGAGGAGTCAACCTACAAATTAAGAACGACCTCTATATGGCTCTGCATCCTCCAAGTAACGATACGAGGAACCATCTAACGAAGGTTATATATATATATATATATATATATATATATATATATATATATATATATATATATATATATATATATATATATATATATATATATATATATATATAAATTGTGCCCCATGCTGAGGCTGATGTCGCATTCATGATGCTTCTTCGCCTCAGTTGGGTTAAACAAACCTACACTTAAACTAGGTCTTTTTAATGTGGATAAAATTCATTATATTATATTATATTGTTATTCTGCCTACTTGATAATCTTCTCGCAACTTGCACACGTTGCTCATGCAAATTGTGATACACTTGCGTAATTTTACCGCGTGGTATTTTTAAAATAACTTTCGGACCTTTTGTACTTATCGCGTATTCACATTTGACCATGTGCTCATTTAGCGAGTATTTATGTCATCATTTGCGTTTACTTTATTCGATATCGGCATTTCGAATGATTGGCTGTTTTTTGACATCCAAAGTGTGGCTGCGCTTGATGTGCATGTTGACAAGGTGTCTACCTGTCTATTACCCACTACCTCGTCCATACTGGCTCCAGGAGACAGTTGGTCGTTGCTGGAGGGAAGGGGTGCACGGTCCTTGTGGCCGTGCTAGGCTCAAAGAGTGGTTCCATGCACTCAGTGTGGAGCGGACTACGGTCCAGCCACCGCCTTGTGTGCGCTTGATTCCCCAAATACAGCGTGCTTGTGTTTGTCTGTGAAGGAGCGTGGGCCGGCTCCGTTGATGAAATGTGGCTCCCATCCACATGCCTCCCGGTCTTATTCCCTCGGGCTTGCCGTGGTACGGGGTGTGTGGATGGAGCTGTGGATGGTGCAGCGCAAACTGCCCATGGTCCCTCTGTAGGCGCAGGCGTCCTGTGGCTGGCCACGGTGACATGCAAATCCGAAACCGGATACCGCCAACCATCCAAACGTATCATAGGTTATTGGCGGTGTGTACACATTACAGTGGTATCACTTCGCGTGTCGTGTATTTATTAGAATAACCCTATCAGAACAATTTTTAAAACGCATGGATGCTCGGAAAGCAACGCGTGCAGTATTGCAAATCAAGACAAACAAGCTTTATGGGAACATTTTCAGCATTTTATAATATCGACTACGGATAGGCTAAAATTACATTCTCAGAACAGTAAATTTGTATGAATGGAAGAAAGAACACCGTGTACAGGTCTCACTTGAACAAACAGTCAGTAAAAACAAGCAACAATAAAACATTTCTGGACGGAATAATCTAAAGCTGCATTCTGTTGACAAGCCAGCGTTGCATACTAGGTTTCCCATCGGGATCGTCCATCTTCAACTTCGCATTATTGTGTTTTATTTTTCTCAAAAAGTTAGCGAAGAACAGCAGTGGTAACCCTGTAAATAGTTTGACGTCAATATTGTAATATTCCTAGAAAACTACTGTATCCGTTGCGATATTGTAAAAACGATGTTCAGTGAAAACAGCAACGTCCGATTTACAGAAATGTTAGGTGCAGCGAAGCAACAAACTATTTCTTATGTTACTGTTCAGTTCCCAAATGCGTCATCCTCCGGTACTTGTGAAGCAAGCGTTTCTTAGCGAAAACTCTAATAGAGGCGAATGACGTCATTCAACGTACCTCTCATGGTTCCACATCCAATAGCAGACCGGTTTAACTATTCTTCCCACACTCATAAGCGATTACGTTTACCTATTCAAGTTCAGCACCATCAAACATGATAGCGCGGGTGTCGAATTACATTGGGGTAGATTACACTAGCCAGCGACATCGTACAACTACGAATAACACTAATGGGGAAAGTGAAAAATGACGGAAAATCTAAACTCCACTTGGTAGAAACACGGGGCCGGATGCAGAAGTCCCACTGATTGTGCTCTCACGCCGTCCGACTCAGTTCCCAGCCAACAGTGTGACCGACTACCTTGTCCCCGTCTTGGAACAAACTACACTATGGGGAGGGTGACCAACCCAAATCGGTTGGTCAACAGGAATTGGAATATGATTACATTGGGGTATATGGACAACCGAACCTGTTAAGCTCCAGTTTGACACTCAATCAACCAGGCAGTAGACGAACATGAAGAGGGAAGATTCGTCTACTTTTTGCAGTCTTGTGTCCGTCGCGATCAATTCGTAGCCTGACTACTTGGATAATAAAATATTTAACCTGAACATCAGCAACCGCTTTTCATAAAAACCGCCTTCCTGCGGACCTGCGTGCCAAGGTCTGTGGGCAATAATTGCCATCTCGCAAAGTAGCCAACCTCTGTTAGAACGCGCCTGTCACTCCTGCAGCAAGTTCGCATGTACCGCTTGTAAGGAATGATCGACACCCCGATTGCAAAACAATGTCCACCCACCCAGAAACGCAGTGGTTGGACGCTGATTGGTTCGTTAGGGGTGGGCGCAGCCTGACACGTCCGTATGGGCGCAAATCATGCCATCCCCTCTCGAATTCCAAGACGTTGCTCGCTGGACCCACCGGAGGTGGAGACACGGAGTGAGTGCGTGTGCGTGTGTGGGCGCGCGCGAATGCTCTTGGGCTGAGAGCTGCGCCAATCACAGCACCTATCAGCCCCCTCGCTTTCATTGCAGAATCACATCAATGTCCGTTAACTCCACGCGCTTAAAGGGGATTAAGCTGGGAAGGTGATTGACCTAATTCCCGCAGCGTCAATGTAGTAACACGCATGCGTACGCACGCACACACACACACGCACACACACACAGTTGTTGGCGCATCCACGAGGATTTGCAGCTTCTCCGAATAGCGAGAAATCCAATCAAACCAGCCGTCGGGGATATCAGTAAGCCAGTGAGCTTGTGAGCAGACGTGAAGGGTGATTTAGACCTTCGCGGTTGGACTAAGCACGTTGCTCGGGTGAGCAGGTTTTATTTGACTGAGTGGAGCTAGGAGTTCCACCAAAATCCCCGGTTGTGGAGATCAGTCCTAAGCCGGCTTCAAATCCTGGATTTGTGTACATCTATTGCAGATCATCACTGAACGTTGCTCGTCTGCCTTTGGTGCGAGGGACCCCTTCCCCTGGCTCTGCTTGACACCAATTTTCGGATTGGCATGCATTAAGCCTTGCCGACCGTGTTCGTCTGACAGGATTCCCACTTGTTCTTTAGACACCTCGCTGATCCGATTAATCCGTCCACCTAACTACGTAAACCCGTCTCCGAACGAACCGGAGTTCGTTCATCTGGTGCTTCGAATTGGGTAAGTAGGCATATATATACTTTTCTCTCACCATTCCTATTTACCCTGGTAGACTTGCACACACGTTTGAGAGTACTAGTTATGTTATGCGTCATGAGCGTACACGTCTGTGTTCTCTGAATTGCCTCATCAGATACACTTTAGCAGCTTAAATGGTCACGGGGATGCTCACACCGATTCTGTCATGAGTAGCTGTTAACATAACTGTGGGCATAAAGGATGTTAATGAAACCCTCACGTGTTTTGATCCATCGGTTTCCAGATTCTGTACAAAGTATGATTGGTTTAACAACTAGTCCACAACATAAAACGGTACTGAATTGGCGACTAGCTTAAACTATACACGTGTAAACTATGTTAAAATCGAACGAATTGTTGGATAGTTCTGTCGGGAAGAAGGTACCCATGAAACGAGAGTTAGTAATCGTGGGGAATACAAATTGGTCGAGTAGTTCCATTGCGGTCCTTCAATACTGACCTCTTCATTGACCTTCAATCCAGTGTTTCAAGGCTACCAACTCAATGGGTAGATTTGCCGCTCCAATGGAGTAGCTCCCATTTCGATGTTATTTCATTCAATGACAAACTAACTGCTCACCGTGTGATCTGGCGATTGTCCCTCATTATCAATGGCGCATTGCTTCAGTAAATTATATCACCATATTCCTAAGTAGCAAATTAGCGAATCCATAACCGCACTGTTCTACTTTGCAAATAATACGTGTGATCCAGTCAACTAGTGGACGCTATCGGAGTATGTGAAAAAAAACGTTGTACCGGCTCCAGGCCAATGATCGTCCATACCTCATTAGTTGCAACGGAAATGCGACCGCTTCGAAATGTCACGTGGTCTGCACATTTCGTAGGACCCAAATTATGCTCTATTATGCAGAACTTCACCAGGATACGGCATGGATGCTTATATTCACGAAGTACACGGTCACTGAACCTCCATCGTATGGTTGTGCGACTGTTGGTTGAACACCGCGCAAAATACTAACAGTACTGAACTACCACCATTCGTTCAAGTTACGGGTTTGTTATCGCCATAGAGTATGTCGTAGATAATTGTTATTGACACATAATTTTTGATTTACTTAGTACCTGAAAATCTGATTGTTCATCGATTTTCTCTCAGACTTTGGTCGAAAGCTGGGTGTCCAGGAACCATCTATTAACTGGTTATTTACTTGGCGCGTACAAGGAGGGATATCAGACTGTCGTGGTCCATTCGCCAACAGCGCAGTTAAGAAATCCAGTTTCTGTCTCTGAAGTTGTCTATTGGAGATAGATTGACGATATTTCGGTGACAGTGGAAATTGTGGTCATTTGGAATTAGGTTCTCAGTGATCGGTACTGTAGAAACTAGTAACAAGCCTCTTAAAAAACACGGTTGTGATGTGTACTCACGACCAAGCCAAGCTTGGTTTGGTTACACACAAGTGAATTCACACACGAGTCACGTGCATCGCTCGAAAGACCGTGGCTCGTGATAAGCAATCAGGACAGGTACACAGGCTCTCAAACTGCATACCGCTGTTCCGAGCAGACACTGGATGTGTAAGAAGCGGAGAAGACCAAACAGCCTTCCAACCATTAGGAGTGCTATTTTAGAGAACTCAAATTCGGTGGATAAGGAAGACTGTGTACACGATATCCCTGGGTTGGAGCCGATATTAACAAATATTTCACTGAAGCAAGCTTTCCCTCTCTTACCCCCCTGGTCGCTGTTGTATGCGTCGCTGCATCACACGCTTAAGGCTGCCATACCGCTTCATCATCCTTATCTATTTGCTTTTCGCTCGGTTCTGCTTTTCGCCCTGTACCAACGACTTCAGTACGGCTGTTGCAAAACGCCGAGATGTAGACGTTTTTTGTCTGATGTTTGCAATGGAGTACTGCTATAAAATATGCGATCAACTAGTGTACGATCATCGGACGCATGAAAAGTGGATCGGCAGCAAACCGGTACGCAAGCTCGAACCTGCGCACTCAGAACACAAGTCAAACCTGTGGCCCTCAAAGCTATGTGCCGGCGCGAGTTTGTGAATGAATTGCTAGAATCAATCAGAGCCTGGGTCCTGATTAACGTGCCGTAGGGGTAGCGGCGTCAACTAGTGAAGCAACATCTCGGAGTTAAGTGGCAAGTCGGTGCTCACCACCTGACGGGTGCAAACAAACCCGAACCCGGTCCTAAAGCAAAGCAAAGTATTGTGAGCAAGTCAACAACACCGAACAGTCAATCATCCGAACAGTCAATTGTAAATCATGACGGTCCGAAGCTGTCCCCCGTGGCCCAGTGGCATAAGCTGCTGACTGGCGGTTCAAGCCGCTGGTGGTCATGGGTTCGAATCCTGATGGATCCGATGGATACGCACTACTGACGATGCCCAACAGATTGAAACTGCAGTCTAGTGCTTTTCCGGGCATGTGGACGACTATCTGATTTGGAAACTGGCTGCGAAGAACCTCACTTAATTGAAAAGCAACTAAATAAAAAGCAAGGTTGAATTAGAGAATGGTTAAATGGTGGTCTGCTTGAACGGAAGAAAGTCTCATGAATTCCTGAGTGGTTGTCTCAGCGGTCGTGAGTAGTGGACACACAAATAAACATTGATGATTAGGTTGGAAGTAACATCCCTCCTCCTCATGTTTGTTCTAACCAAAACAGGCACATGTTAGCCGGTAATTAGGGTGGAATCGAGTGAATACTGAATACTGGTTCGAAGCAGCGAGTAGAGCTTTCTCTGTGTAGCTGCATCATTCGTCGCTCTTGGCCATATACTCCTTATTTATCCTTACGCTCTCTATATTTTGTCTCTGCAAAGTGTTTGTCTAGGAGCTTCTTAAATTCGGACACTGAGTTTGCCTTTACTATTTGCTGCGGCAGGTCGTTCCAGACATTCACCACTCTGCGTTCGAAACAGAGTTGGTGAGCGACCTGCCTTAACTTCGGTATGATAAGTTTATACCGGTGTCCTCGCATGCAGCTTGGTGTGCGCAGATGAAGCAGTTGTCTCAACATGGGGTAATCACTCAGATGTAATATCCGATGCGTCATGATGAGGTCAGCCCTCAGCCGACCATAAGCTAGGGTGTACAGCCCTAGTTTCTTACATCGGTCTTCGTATGGCATACGTCGTAAGTTGGGAATCAGCCTAGTGGCTACATGCTGCACCCGTTCAAGCTTTTCTACCTCGCTCTGGGTGATGGGACAATACGTGGGAGAGCCGTACTCTAGCATTGGTCGTATTATCGAGACGAAGAGGCGAGTAGCAATCTCTTCGAACCAAGTGCTGAAGCTGCGCCTGAGCGCCCAAAGCATCCGAAGGCTGTTTTGGTACAGCCTATTCGTGTTGTCAATGGACTTTAGGTCGCAGCGTGAGAGCACACCGAGGTCGCGCACGAAAGGCGCGGGATGCAACGGTTGACCAGCCACTGTGTAGGTTCGGCTGTGCTCACATTTACCCAACCTCATAAATTGCGACTTGGCAGGGTTGATCGGAAGTTAACCTCTGTAGACCATCTCGAGAGGTGGTCGAGGTCCTGCTGAAGTAAATCACAATCATTGAATGTGCGGATTATTTTCCACACCTTCAAGTCATCTGCGAACAACGCACAGGGTGATTGGAGTAGCTGAGGCACATCGTTTACATGGATCAGAAACAATATCGACCCCAGTACAGTGCCTTGGGGCACGCCGCTGCTCGATGGATACCAGTCAGTTAGATGGTTGTCCACCTGGACCCTCCACTTTCGATCAACAAGCAAATTTCTGATCCATTTGTGCAGCGAGCCACCAACACCGCACATCCTCAGCCTGTCGAGGAGCACTGCATGGTTAACGTTGTCAAAAGCCTTACTGAAGTCAATGTAAATGACGTCGACCGATTGGCCTTGGTTCAGCGCTTGTCAACAGTAGGTTGGTGATGCACGAGCGACCTTTCATGAAACCATGCTGTGCGGAGGTCAACAGGTTTTTCGACTCGAGAAGCTGCAGAAGGCTCTTCTTCACGATCTTCTCGAGCGTCTTTGCCAAAACAGTGGTCAGGCAGATCGGCCGGTAGTTATCCACTTTGCTTGGGTTACCACCTTTCGGTATGGGCTTTACGACTGAGCATTTCCAGTCGTCCGGTAACAGTCCAGTGGATAGTGACCTGTTAAAGAGTTCAGTTACAGAAGGCGCGATGATGGCCGATAGGGACTTGAGGATCAGTGGGTGTATACCATCTGGCCCAGCAGGCTTCGTCCCGTCAAGATTTGCTAGAAGCTTGCGTACATCCTCAATATTGCAGTCCAGGCTGTTAAGTTCGGCTGGAGCGGTACTCGTCGAACTCGTTACAGACACCTGGTCACTTGCAAATACGGAAAAGAAGTGCGCCGCCAATGCGGACGCACGATCTGTACACGAGGTTAGGGGCTGTCCATCTGAGTCTTCTAACACTGGGACATTGGATACAGGCCACATACGCCGCTTCACGTATGCGAATATGTTCATGGGAGCCGTTTTTGCGGCGGTTGCAAGCTCCACTTCGAAGCTTCTGCGTTTTCTTGTTTTCGCGTTGTTGCAGCGATTTCGCTGTGAAAGTCTAATTACAATACTTCGCCTGTTTTCTGCAAGATGTTCCGGAACAAAATTGCGTGATAATATTTGTGTTGCAGCGCAAGTAGTAACATTGGGTTCTACTCCACACCAGCCTCTTTGATACTAATGGTTTTGCCGCTGATACTGCTAATTCCATGACTGAGATGGGTGAAAATGTGGGCTTGCTTGCGAATATGCAAGCTATGTGCTTTCTCGAGATCACAATCCAATGCCCAACAGAAGGCATAAACTGGTGTGACCTCCAACTGAGTAATTGAAACATAAACGTGAACACTGTTTTCACATCTGATGAACCAGCGCAAGTCATTGTTGACTGCTTAGATAAAATAGACGGATGCTGACTCTAGGTGGGTTAGTTGGTTTGTCGCTAGATTCCGTTTGAGTCCATACCAAG